TGCATGTAATTCAATCTCATGTTATTCTAGGGTCAACTATATTTGGGGAAACAGTTATTAGAAAGGTGAAACTGGTGAAAGTCAAAGATTATATAATAAGTAGAGGTCCGGTGCACAAATTTGTGAACAGGTGGGGTCCCTCAACCTGGCTGGTGATCGAAGCCTATTGGGGGGCCGGCCAGCTGGCCAGGGGGAGAGCTGCAGGAGGTTGGCAGGCCAGGGAGAGGGGCCACCGGAGGGGCTGTGTACTGACCACCAGGGGCAGCTCCTGCATTGAGCATCTGCCCCCTGATAGTCAGTGTGTGTCATAGCGACTAATGGTTGCTTAGGCTTTTATATATATATATATATGTATATGTATATGTATATGTATATGTATATGTATATATATATAGATGTTATTCTGTTACACGTTTTCTCATTCATAAATTTTAAATATTTGAATAATTTTTTTGTTCTTAGAATGGAATTTTATCAGTTATTTGGTAAAACAGAACTTTGTTCTTATGATCTAAATTTGTCTTTTTCAGATTTCAGAGAGAGTCCTGAGTTTTAACATAAAAGGATTTATTTTGTGTTCTCCCTTTCTACTATAAGCTCTCCAGTAGGCTATTGTCTGCTCCTATTTTATATCTTCAGTATGTATCACAGAGTCTCATTAACAGTAGGGATTCAATAAAGTTTTATTAAATTTTATATATTGGCTTTTATTTGTTTCATCAAAAAATATTCTTTAAGTATAGACTGTGTGTCTATATTTATTGAGAAAACTGATATGCATAGAATGACTCCTTGAGTTGGCCAACGGTCTTTGTGATCCAGCCTCTGTCTCTCTCAGACTTCATCTCCCACCACTTTCCAGTTTACTTATTTTGTACTAGCCATGCTTGACTCCTTGCTGTTCCATGGACACAGTATTGAACTCATTTCCGCATCAGGGCTTTTGCACTAGTGTTCACTTTGTCTGGAATGTTTTTTTCCTAGAGCTTCCCAAGGCTCAGTATTTTGCTTGGTCACTATTTAGGTATCATTTTTAAAAAATGTTTTTATTCATTTTTAGAGAAAGAGGAAGGGAGGGAGAGAGAGATCGAAACATTGATGAGAGAGAAACATCATCAATCAGCTGCCTTCTTGAGCCCGCAGCCCAGGAATGTGCCCTGACCAGGAATCCACCCAGCAACCTCCTGGTGCATGGTTTGATGCTCAACCATTGAGCCATACCGGCTGGGCTAGGTGTCATTTTTAAAGAGCCCTCTCCCCCTTTTTAAAGCACTCTAAGTTCACAGCAAAATTAATAAAAAGTACAAAGTTCCCATATACCTCTGGTCTCCAAATACACACCCATAATCTCCCTGACTATCAACATCCTGTATCAGAGTGATACATTTGTTATAATTGATGAACCTACACTGATACATAATTAATACCCAAAGTCCATAGTTTACATTAGGGTTCACTCTTTGTGTTATATATTCTATGAGTTTGACCAATATATAATGACATGTATCCATCATTATAGTATCATACATAATAGTTTCACTACCCTAAAAATTCTCTGTGCTCTGCCTATATATCCCTCCCTCCTCTTAACCTCTGGCAACCACTGATCTTGCTGTCTGCATTGTTTTGTCTTTCTCACATTGTCATTTGGAATCATAGAGCATATAGCCGCATTCCAGACAAAGTGGACACTAGTGCAAAAACTCTGATGCAAAATGAGTTCAATACTGTGTCCATGGAATAGCAAAGAGTCAAGCATGGCTACAACAAAATAAATGAAATAATTTCAAATTGGTTTCTTTCACTTAGTAATAATATACATTTAAATTTCCTCCATGTCTTGATAGCTCATTTCTTTTTCTTTTGTGGTTAAAAAAGATAAAATTTAGTCTTGTAACCATTTTAAATGTATAATTTAGTAATGTTAACCATGTTCACATTGTTTTGTAACAGATCTCCAGAACATTTTTATCTTGTAAAACTGAAATTCTGTACCCATCAAACAATTCCTCAGCTCTCTTTCTCTCCAGGCCCCAACCACCATCATTCTACTTTTTGTTCCCATGATTTTGACTACTCTGGATATTTCATATAAGTAGAATAATGCAGAATTTGTCCTTTTGCAATGGCTTATTTTATTCAGCATGATGTCCTCAAGTTTCATCCATACTGTAGCATATAATAGGATTTCCTTCTTTTTTTAAGGCTGGATAATATTCCATTGTATATATATATATACCACATTTTCTTTACATATATGTCAATAGACATGTGGATTGTTTCTACCTCTTGGCTGTTGTGAATAATGCTGCAATGAATCTAGGTGTACAAATATCTCTTCAAGACACTGCTTTCAATTGTTTTGGATATATACCTAAAAGTGGAAGAGGCCTTCTTTGACTAGAAACTTTGTCTTTAGGCTTCCTGGTCTAAAATCAGTCCCTCACCCCTGTCACTCTGTACATCCTTGTCCTGCTCAATTTTTCTTACCAATACTTGACATTATATTATGTATTTAATAGTGGCCCGGTGCACAGATTCATGCACATTGAAAGGAAATTAATTAGAAGAAAGATTCATGCAGCAATTACGTTACTGCAAAAAATTAGATGTCAAAATAATATATATAATATCTATATGTATAAAGAGCCAGGGGCCATCACAACTGAACGATGACCAAACAGGCGTGGGGCGACAAGGCCAGCAGGGGGGTTAGTGAGGGACAACAAAACGACTGAGCAGCAGGCTGTGTGGGGTGACCAGGCCGGCAGGGGGGTTAGTGAGGGACGACCAAATGACTGAA